AGAGAGGGCTGAAAGCCCTATGAAGCGGTATATAAGTCTAACTGCTATTGCTATTCTGGTGCCTTCACCACTGGACTCAGAGAAGCGACGAGTCTGTAAAATATAACTTAGAGCGACGTGGTGACTAAGCGGCTGAGCCTGTCAATCAGAAAGTTCGTAGGTTTGACTCCCCAGCGCCGCGAAACAGAGTGAGCTCCCGTGACTTGTCCCAGCTTCTGCCAACCTAGAAGTTCGAAAGCACGTAAAAAATGCGAGTAGAAAAATAGGAACCACCTTTGGTGGGAAGGGAACAGCGTTCCGTGCACCTTCGGCGTTGAGGCATGCCGGCCACATGACCACGGAGACGTCTTCAGACAGCGCTGGCTCTTCGGCTTTGAAACGGAGATGAGCACCAATGCCCCCTAGAGTCGGGAACGACTGGCACATGTGCGCGAGGGGAACCTTGACCTTTTAGCTAGAGAATGTGGGCGTCTTCATCATTTGGATGGCCTTGTTGCTGCCAAAATTTGTCCTGGATGTTGCTCAGCAAGGTCCAGCCTCTTAGACGCCGGTTCTCTTTCTTTGTCGGGTGGGTCGAAACAGGTATGAGACCCAGAAAACCTTCTCCGGCCCCATGCTGACGGGAGTGATGGGGGAGAAGCCTGAAGAAGGCCAGCGCGAGTACTGGAGGATTCTGCGGCATCCTAACCTCAGTTTGGACCAAGGTGAGGAGTCTTCAGACCGAGGCTTCCCGAGAGCATGGAGGAGGAGGAGGAGGAGGAGGAGGAGGAGGGGGACGACTGTGGGGCCCTTGGTGCTCTCTGATCTTGATGGTTTTCTTACAGACATTTCCTTACCCTACTACGTAACATCATCAGTGCTAGAAGGCAGTGGGGTTTGTAGAGGAGGAGGAGGAGGACGAGGAGGAGGAGGAGGAAAGAGGGAAGAGGAAGACTGTGGGGTCCTTGGTGCTCTCTGAGCTGGGTGGTTTTCTGGCAGACCTTTCATTAGCCGGAGTAGGTGACACTAGCACTGATGGTGTTATCTAGTTAGGTAATGAAACGTCTGCAAAAAAACCATCAAGCTCAGAGAGCACCAAGGACCCCACAGTCTCCCTTCTCTTCCTCCTCTTCTTCTCCCCCTTCTCCTCCCCCAACTCCCTTCTAGCACTGATGATGTTCCCTAGTTGGGTAATGGAACGTCTGCAAGAAAACTACCCAGCTCAGAGAGCACCAAGGACCCCACAGTCCTCCTCCTCCTCCTCCTCCTCCTCCTCCTCCTTTTACCTCCTCCCTCCCTCCTCCTCTATCTCCTCCGCCTCCTCTCTGTAATCTCCCTTCCCTTTTAGCACTGATGATGTTCCCTAGTTGGGTAATAAAACGTCTTCAAGAAAACTACCCAGCTCAGAGAGCACCAAGGGCTCCACAGTCCTCCTCATCTTCCTCCTGCTTCTCCTCTCCTCCTCCTCTCTGCAAACCCCACTCCCTTCTAGCACTGATGATGTTCCCTAGTTGGGTCATGAGAAGTCTGCAAGAAAACAAGCAAACTCAGAGAGCACCGAGGATCTCACAGTCTTCCTCCTCCTCCTCCTCCTCCTCCTCCTCCTCCTCTCCCTTCTAGCACTGATGATGCTCCCTAGTTGGGCCATGAAACATCTGCCAGAGAACAACCAAACTCAGAGAGCACCGAGGACCCCCTCAGTTCAACCCTGAGCTACAGATATTCTCCTTCACTGGTCTCCCCAGACAGCCGGAATATTCCTTGGGGCAACCCTCTAGATCACCCCATTCCCTTCCTCCTCTTCCCAGCAACCAGGCCTTTGCGTTTCTGCTCCCCAGGTATCGCCGAATACACCCCACGAGATCAAGACCATATTATTTTGAAGATGACCTCTTGGTAGAGACGGATCTCAGCCCTGGTGGGCCCGGCTGTCTCTTCGCAAACAATGGGACTTGTCCTCGGAGATTTCTAGAAGGTTCTTTTCTTCCCCTCTTAGAGCTTGTGGACTAGGAACTTGGCTTATTTTTAAAAAAATGCCTCTTTTTATTTCAGTCCGAAGTCCAGTGATGTTAAAAAAAAAGAAAGCACAAATGCAACGACATTAAATTGTTAAAATTGAAAATACAGAGAAGGAGAATTGGATCGAAATCTTTGGATCAGGTTTTCTATCACTCAAGAGATAATGTGTAAATTGGATGAAGGAAGGAAGGAGAGAGGGAGGGGGAGGGAGGAAGGAAGAATGGATGGGAAGAAGGAAGGATGGATGGATGGATGAATGGAAGGATGGATGGAAAGAAGGAAGGATGGATGGATGGATGGATGGATGGATGGATGGATGGATGGAAGGAAGGAAGGAAGGATGGATGAATGAATGGATGGATGGATGGAAGGAAGGAAGGATGGATGGATGGATGGATGGATGGATGGATGGATGGAAGGAAGGATGGATGGATGGATGGATGGATGGATGGATGGATGGATGGATGGATGGATGGATGGATGGATGGATGGATGGATGGATGGA